AGCCCGCGGGTTCGAGACCCGCCTGGGCAACTTGGCGAGACCTCATCTCTATAATAAATTTTTTAAAAAATCAGCCGGGCGTGGTAGCACATGCCTGTAGTTCCAGCTACTCGGAAGGCTGAGGCGGAAGATCACCGGGAGCAGCCACTGCACTCCAGTCTGGGTGACAGATTGAGACTCCAACTCAAAAAAATAAAAAAATTTTTAAAATTTTAAAAATACAGATATATTGATTATGGTAAAATACATCTGAAATATACATAGGTGACTTAGAGCGTGTCTCCCACAGACCTTTCCAGGCCAGCACCTCTCTCAACCCAACACCCAGGTCTCCCCTGCCCAGTGGACTCATCCACCCCTTCAAGTCTGGGAGGAAATCCAGCCGTTAAACCAATCACCCACAGGAGCCAGTGACTAATTGTATTGCTAAATTCTGGATATCAGGGAAATTACAAGACAGCCAGCCCAGCCCAGTCCCAGCTATTGTCCATTTAGAGAGAAGATTTTTGGGAATAGATTCTGTCTAACATAAAGAAATTTCAGACTTCAAAAGGGAGCCTTCCCCAAATTCCAAATAACACTGAAGGTGAGTATGCGCCCTACCAGTGTAGACCAGCCCCACCTGTGTAGACCAGCCCTTGCCAGAGCAGAGCCTGCTGTGTGATGTGAAGCTGTGCACGGCAAGAACCTTGACTGCCCCGCTGAACATGCATCTGGGGTTCACGTTCAGGCACAGATGATTTCAGGGTCTGCCTAACCTGCCACCCCACAGAGGAGTTCTCTATGATTCTAAGAATCTAGAACCTTCTGTGCAGATAATTTCTGCCACTCCTACTCCGGAAGATCCAGGCTGTCGCCCCGACCTTAGAGGACTACCTTCTTTATCGGGAAGCTCACCGTCTCCCTCTGAAGGCTGTTTTTGGGTACTGATCTTGCAAAGTGGTCGCTTATGCGTTAAATATGGCCTACATTGTACACAGACTTGTTTTCATCTTTGCTAATATTTCATTTTTAATTTTTTTAATTGAGTATTTTTGAGTAATAGAGTCACACTGTCCAAATTATGAAAAGCCTCCTTCCCGCCTCTGTCTTCCAGCCGTGACTCCTCTCCCTGGGGAGGTCTCCAGCGTTTTGAAATTGGGGTTGAGGCCGGTGGCTCAGCCTGTCATCCCAGCACTTTGGGAGGCCGAAGCGAGTGGATTGCCTGAGCCCACGGGTTTGAGACCAGCCCAGGCCACTTGAGGAGACCTCATCTCTACAATAAATCAAAAAGTAGCCGGGCGTGGTAGCGCACGCCTGTAGTTCCGGCTACTTGGAAGGCTGAGGCGGAAGGATCGCCGGAGCCCAAGCAGGTCGAGGCTGGGGTGGCCATTGAGTGTGCCACTGCACTGTAGCCTGAATGACAGAGTGAGACTGCGACTCACACACACACACAAAAAAATAGAAATTGGGGTTGAAAATGTAGGTTTCTCATTTTTCTTGAAAATGGGTAGACTTGGCAGCTGCATGCCCACTTGGTGGCGGTGTGGCAGGTCCACACAACCTGTTTCTACACTCTTTGGACAAGACTCGTGATCTCCAGTTGGGTACAGACCCAGCCTGTCCTACTGCTCACCATAACATCACTTCCCTGACCCTTCTTACGGTCTGTGTTCGTAACCAGTGCTTATTCTTTCACAGAACTGACATCCAGTTCCCTGTCATCTATGGACAAGGCTGCTTTTTATTTTGGCCTCTGACTCTCTTCAGAACATACAGACCTCTTCGTAACATCCTCAGCTCCGTCACAGAGCTTTCCTTTGCTGTCACTTTGATCAACATGTTGCTTCAACTTCCTCCGACTTGTTGGTTTTTACAAGGTACACAGTACAGGTAGCCAACATCTCTGTTGAAGCACTTTTCATGTAGCAACTCATTTAGACAGCTTAACAACTCTATATGGTTTTTTGGATTTTGGGGTTTTTTTTTTTAGTTGAAGTCTCACTCCATCACCCAGGCTGGAGTGAAGTGGCACGCTCACAGTCACCGCAGCCTTGACCTGCTGGGCTCCGGCGATCCTTCTACCTCAGCCTTCCAAGTAGCTGAAACTACAGGCATGCACCACCATACCCAGCTAATTTTTTGATTTATTATAGATGAGTTCTTGCCAAGTTGTCCAGGCTGTTCTTGAACCCATGGGCTCAGACAATCCTCTCACTCTTGCCTCCCAAAGTGCTGGGATGACAAGCGTGAGCCACCACTCCCACCGACATTATCTTTTCATGAATGGAATGACACATATGTAAACTTTGAGATGGGTTCTTGAACTCAGCATAATGTTTTCTTTCTTTCTTTTTTTTTGAGTTGGAGTCTCACTCCATTGCCCAGGCTGGAGTGCAGTGGCATGCTCACAGCCACCCCAGTGTCAACCTGCTGGGTTCCAGCGATCCTTCTGTCCCAGCCTTCCAAGTAGCCAGAACTACAGGCGCGCACTACCATTCCCGGCAAATTTGTGATTTATTGTAGAGACAAGAGCTCACCTCGAACCCAGAGGCTCAGGCAATCCACTTGCCTCAGCCTCCCAAAGTGCTGGGATGACAGGCTGAGCCACCAAGCCCAGCCTCAACTTTATCCTTTTTACAAAATTTTAAAAATATTCTCGTTCCCTTGCCTTTCCATGTAAATTCTAGAATTAGATTGTTTATATCTTCAAAAATTTCTTCTGGAATTTTGGTTAAAACTGCATTGAAACTATTGACCAATTTGGGAAGAATTAACATCTTTACTATGCTGAGTCTTCCAAGCCATGAGTATGGTTTCTCTTTGCATTTATTTAGATCTTCTTTGATTTCTTTCATCATCATTTTGTAGTCTTCAACATACTAGATACCATTTTTTTTTTTGTTATTTATACCTAAACTTTTCATTCATTTGGAGCTATTTTAAATAGCATCTAAAACAGTTCTAGGTTTTCGACTGTTTATTGCTAATATATAGAAATTCAACTGATTTTAGTGTATTAACTTTATATTTTACACCTTCACTAAACTTACTTCTTATTTCTAGGAGATTTTTTTGGTAGAGTCCTTGAAATTTTTATCATAGGCAATCTGTCATCTCTGAAAAAAAGTTTTATTTCTTCCTTTCCCATCTGTATTCCTTTTATTTTCTTGCCTTATTGCACTGACTAAGACTTTTAGTACAATGTTGACTGGGAGTGATGACAGTGGACATCCCACCTTGTTCCTGATTTTAGGGAGAAAGCATTCAAAGTCACCGTTAAGTATGATATTAACTGTAGTTTCCTTGTAGATGCCTTTCATCAGGTTGGAGACTTTTTTCTATTCCTAGGTTGCTGAGAATTTTTTTTAAAACCATAAATGAATGCTGGATTGTGTTAAACATGTTTCCTGCACCAATTTAAGTGATCATGTAGTTTCTCTCTTTTAGGCTATTAATATAGTGAATTATGGATTGATTTCCAAATATCAAATAATCCTTGTATTCTCTATATGAAGCTAACTTGGTGGTGACTGTAATACTCTTTTCATGCATAGCTGAATTTCATTTGCTATTTTGTTGTAAATTTTCCCTTTTATGATCGTGAGTGATATGGGTCTGAAGTTTTTTGTTTGTTTGTACTGTCTTTGTTTGGGTTTCTTAACAAGTTAACAGTGGCTTCATGAAATGACTGGGATGTGTTCCCTCTGCTTCTGTTTTCTGAAAGTGATTGTGTAGAATTGGAGTTATTTCTTTGAATGTTTGGTAGAATTTTCAAATGAAAGTATCTGTGCTTATAGATTTCTCTTTTGGGAAATTTAAAGTTACAGGTTCAGTTTCTTGAATAGTTGTAAAACTATTCCGGTAACCTATTTCATCTTAGGTGAGTTTTGGTAGTTGGTGGTTTTCAAGGAATAGGCAGTTTCATAAATGTCAAATTTACATATGTGGATTTGTTCACATGATCCTCTCAATGTCCCTGTGACATCTGCAGTGATGTCTTCTCTTTCATTTCTGATATTGGTAATTTGTGTCTTCTCTTGTTTTTGTTTTTGTTTTGGTCCGTCTTGCTAGAAATATATCAATTTTATTGATCTTTTCAAATATTTAGCTGTTAGCTTCATTGATTTTCTTCCTATCGTTTATCTGTTTACAATTTTGATTTCTGCTCTTATCTTTATTTCCTTCCTTCTCACCCTGGGTTTATTTTACTTTCCGTACTGTAATTTTATTTATTTATTTTCTTATTTTAGAGTTGGGGGGTACAAGCTAGGATTTGCATCATAAGTAGGCTGCATGCAGGTGAAGTTTGGACTTCTCGTGGCCCTCACTCCCCCTTTCAGTAATTTCCTGAGTAGCACGCCTGGTTATTCACCTGAGACCTCACCTCATTTCTAATATAGACATTCAATGCTCTCAACCTCTCTCTAAGCACCGCTAGCTGTAGATTTTGATGTTTTATTTTAATTTCTGTATTTTTCAAAATGTTGACTGATTTCCCTTGAGATTTCTTCTTGGACTCATGACTACTCAGAAGTATGTTTTCTCTTGTCCAAGTGTTGGAAGATCCCCCTGTTGTCTTTCTGTGACTGACATCTAGTCATAGATATTTGAAGAATGTGATTATAACTAAGTATGAGGCCCATCTCTTGCCAAAAATACATGTGTGTATCAATTTCACAAGCATTTCTTAGGCATAGTGATAACTCAATTCTCGCTTGGTAGCAGAAGTGGCACTTGTAGTAAATGACAGCAAATAGCAAATGTCACCTGACCACGGTCCCATGTTTTTCCTTTTGACAGGTGGCCTGACTGACAACCTGGGGAATTTGAAGAACCTTATGAAGCTCGTACTGGATAATGTTAAGATGAATGAGGAAGATGCGATAAGACTAGGTCAGGTTTGGATTTTCTCTTCTGTGTTTTATCCATGTCAGTTTGATAAGAACACTTAGCTCAAGACTCTTTGGCATTGGCTCTGTGCCCATGCAAGGATGTTTTTATGACTCCACTAGACACATACACTTTTTTTTTTTGAGTCGGAGTGTCAAAGGAGTCTCAGGCCCCCATCCCACAGTCCCAAGCTGGGCTCTTTGAGACCGAACACAGTTACCCTAGAAGCACTCCAAGGAACCAGAGTCCTTGTTGCCCCTCTGGATAACCCCACCCTGTCTAGAGGTTTGAAGGGACTGAAAAGGGTGTGTTCCCAGAAGACATCAGGAGAGAAGAGTCATGGTAAAGAGTACACACCAATACCCGTTAAAAATACAATACATAGCTGCGCCTGGTGACTCAGTCTGTCATCCCAGCACTGGGAGGCAGAGGCGAGAGGATTGCCTGAGCCTGGGGGTTTGAGACAGACTGGGCAACTTGGTGAGACCTCATCTCTACAATAAATTACAAAAACAGCCAGGTGTGGTGGTGTGTGCCTGTAGTTTCGGCTACTTGGAAGGCTGAGGCAGAAGGATCGCCTGAGCCCAATAGGTCAAGGCTGCAGTGACTGTGAGCATGCCACTGCACTCCAGCCTGGGTGACAAGAGTGAGACTCCTACTCAAAAAAAAAAAATACTACACATTTAGGCTGGCTGCAATGGTTCACACCTGTCATCCCAGCACTTTGGGAGGTGGAGGTGAGAGGATTACCTGAACCCAGGGGTTTGAGACCAGCCTGGGCAACTTGGTGAGACCTCGTCTTTATGATAAATAAAACAATTAGCCAGGCATGGTGGTGTGTGTCTGTAGTTTCAGCTACGCAGGAGGCTGAGACAGAAGGATCGTCTGAGCCCAGAGTGCTGCAGTAGTAGCTGTGAGCGTGCCACAGCACTCCAGCTTGGGCAACAGAGTAAGAATCTGACTCAAAAAACAAACAAACAAACAAACAAACAAACAAAATGAACCAATCAAACAAAAAAACCCTACACATTTCCTACAGTTTTTCTCATGCTCCTAAGAGGGTCACCTCACATACGGGATGTGTGTCTGGTTCAGGAAACGTGGAAAGCGAGAGTCAAAGGAAAAGCAGCTCTCTGTTTGCAACCTGAGGTCCTTGCAAAAAAAAAGCACGGAAGGTCTCTGCACAATTGTTCTTTGCCTTCTTTTCCATCCACTCATCTGTGTCTAAATCAAATCAATTTGGTATCCTAACACGTCTCCTTTCAATCCTTTTGCAGCTGAAGGTCTGACCCATCTGAAGAAGATATGTTTACTTCGTCTGACCCGCTTGTCTGACATTGGGGAGGGAATGGATTACATAGTCAGGGCTCTGTCGAGTGAACCCCGCGACCTTGAAGAAATCCAGTTAGTCTCCTGCTGCTTGTCTGCGAATGCCGTGAAAACCCTGGGTAACATTTCCTCCATTAAGTGAATGGAAACAGTGTAACAGAACATGTGACACTATTATACTTATTCACGCTAAAATCAAATGGAAATTTAATTTTAAGAGAAACTGGAAAAGATGATGATGACTTCTAGATAATACCCAGTCTGTCTTTAATTATTTTTCTCCATAGTAGAATTAAAATGAACTATTGATGGACAACGGGAGAGAATTGCAGAACAGCTGAAGATGTTAAAGAGGTGGAGAGGAAGAAAGTAAGGAATAGATGCTTGAAACTGGCCACGTGTCCAGTCATATAATTGCCACCTAAGGAATATTGGGATGAATGAGTGAATAAATGATTGAGAAGCAGAGAGTGAAAAGATTTACTTGAATGTTCTCAGCCTCCAATTCTTACCCATTGCCCTGTTAAGATGGAATTAACATAGGCCGGGCATGGTAGCTCAAGCCTGTCATCCCAGCACTTTGAGAGGCTGAGGTGAGTGGATTGCCTGAGCTCAGGGGTTCAAGACCAACCTGGGCAACTTGGTGAGACCTCGTTTCTACAATAAATCAAAAATAAGCCGAGCGTGGTGGCACACACCTATGGTTCCAGCTACTTGAAAGATTGAGGTGGAAGGATCACCTGAGCCCAGCAGGTTGAGGCTGCCGTGGCCATGAGCATGAGTGTGCCACTGTGTTCCATCCTGGGCGACAGAGTGAGACTCTGACCCCTTCCCCCAAAAAAGATGGAGTTAATGTGTATTAATATAACAGTAGAGTCTTCTGAATTCCTGAGTTCCTGAAGGGTATGCATGTCAAGTGTGGAGAAACCTTTGCATATTTCTGGATAGACTGGATATGTTCAATTCAGATGTGTTTTTAAATTTAGGTTTTGGCAAAAAGGTAAAGATACCTAAGGAAGCCATTTGTATACGATGATAAACTTATAGCTAGAAAACACACAGCTGGAAAAGGCTAGACAACTATTGGATACATGAACATGACAAGCACACACTTTTACTTATCCGCTGACCACAGGGGAAAAACCTGCTTAGAAATGGAAATAAAAAATGGACCCTTGTAAAGAGGAGTTCAGCTTTTTTTTTTTTTTGAGTTGGAGTCTTACTCAGTTGCCCCGACTGGAGTGCAGTGGCCGTTCCCGGCCACTGCAGCCTCGACCTGCTGGGCTCCGGCGATCCTTCCGCCTCAGCCTTCCAAGTAGCCAGAATTACAGGCGCGCGCTACCATGCCCGGCTAATTTTTTGATTTTATTGTAGAGATGAGGTCTTGCCTGCCCAGGCGGGTCTCGAACTCGCGGGCTTGGGCAATCCACTCACCTCAGCCTCCCAAAGGCGTGGGATTACAGGCTGAGTCACCGAGCCCGGTCCTGTACTTTTTACTTCAATATATTTGTATCTTTGTCATTAAAATACATCTCTTGTAGACAGTGTAATGATGGGTCTTGCTTTTTTAAAAAATCCAGTTCTGATTATCTCTGCCTTTTAAATGGAGTGTTTAGTCCATTTACACCTAATGTAATTATTGATATGGATGGATTTGCATCTGCTATTTGTTTTATTTTTTCACATCCATTTTCAAAACTTTCTATGTTTTTATTATTAACATCCCAACTGTGATGTCAACAAAATAATCCAGGCTGAGGTACAAAAAATCAGCTTATCTCACCTGTTTTTTGTTCCTCTGTTTCCCTGCCTTAAGGATTAAGACCATTTTAGAACTGGAAACAACCTTACAGTTTATCTAGTTCAACCATCTCATTCAATAGGAAAAGACATGAGTCAAGTGCAGTGGCTTAATATGTATAGTCCCAGCTACCTGGGAGGCTGACGCAGGAAGATTGCTTGAGCCCAGGAGTTTGAGGCTTCAGTGAGCTTTGATCACATCACTGCACTCCAGCCCAGGCAACAGAGCAAGATCCTGTTTCTAAAAAAAAAATGTTTAAGAAAATTTAAAGAAATTAACTAAATAAAAATATATAGATGAAGACACTGAGGGTTAGAGAGATTGAGTGCATTTTCCATGGTGATATAGCAACTATATCCCATGCTGCTTTGGGCTCCGTGTGACCTGGAGTTAATTAATTAATCAATCAGAATCCAGGCCCAGGAAATATCTGCTCATCTGGGCACAATCATGGGCGTTGGGGGCTACACCTATCCAGGTATCTTTGGGAATAATTAATCAAGTCAAATGGTTGTTTGCATTACTATTAGCATGGAAGACAAGGACTCAGAACTCTTCTAAAGATATTTTTTAATGCCTATATAATTACCTGAATTTTTTTTAACATTTTGGTTCACTTTTTTCCAGCTCAAAATCTTCACAATTTGGTCAAACTGAGCATTCTTGATTTATCAGAAAATTGCCTGGAAAAGAATGGAAATGAAGCTTTGCTCGAACTGAGTAAGAGTGACAACTCAGCCAAATCAGACACTTGAATATACAAGGGGGACCCAAAAAATCCCGGAATTTATTTTTTTAAAATCGTGTATTTATGCTCACACATTTAAACTTTGGTCACCTTCAAAGTCCTCTCTGTTTGATGCAAGACACCTATCAGGATACTTTTTCCACTGCTCAAAACAGTTTTTTTTTTGTTTTTTTTTTGAGTCGGAGTCTCACTCTGTCGCCCAGACTGGAGTGCAGTGGCCGCTCCCGGCCACCGCAGCCTCGACCTGCTGGGCTCCGGCGATCCTTCCGCCTCAGCCTTCCGAGTAGCTGGAACTACAGGCGCGCGCTACCACACCCGGCTAATTTTTTAATTTATTGTAGAGATGAGGTCTCGCCAAGTTGCCCAGGCGGGTCTCGAACCCACCGGCTCAGGCAATCCACTCACCTCGGCCTCCCAAAGTGCTGGGATGACAGGCTGAGCCACCCAGCCCGGCCCTCAAAACAGTTTTTGAACTCACCCATTTGGATGCCTTTTAGTGCTTCAGCCTTTTTTTTTTTTTTAACCTCTTCCATATCAACAAAGCGTTTCCCTTTGAGGACTTTTTTTTTTAATCCGGGGAAACAAACAAAAAAAGTCACCTGGGTGAGATCTGGTAAATAGGGAGGATGGGACACGAGGGTCATGCCATTTTTGTCCAAAAACTGCTGAACACTTGGCACGGTGTGGGCAGGTGCGTCATCCATCACGAAATGGGCAAGCACGTGGAAAGAATCTCCAAAAAAAATTTACTGGAGTCAAATGCAGCCTCTCACAACAACACTAGCTGGTACTGGCATGCCAATGGCTTCCTAGAACTGTCTTACAAGGGGCCCGTCCTCCACAAGATAATTCCGGGTTTTTTGGGGTCCCCCTCCTATGTACTGGGTAGTCCGGAAGCACAACCTGAGCCCTGCAGTCTTTTGAACCCATTCATGCCCTATGAGATGCCCCTTCCTTAGGAAAGTCACTTAGGCCTTTCTTAGAATGTCGTTAAGGAGCACGTGCCCTATCTTTTGAGATACCAGTTTGCACATGCTTCTGGCACCCAGGACACCCACCTGCCAGCCTCCCTCAGGGAAGCAGTGTCTGAGGGTCGTTGACATGCAAGACAATTTTTAAAAACTGCTTTGCTTTTAATTATGGTGGGTGCATACTAGCTGTATATCCGGGGTACGCGTGACTTTCTGACATTGCATGCAATGTGTTATGATCCATCAGGGTAGTTGGGGTTTCCATCCCTCCCTCAAGCACTCATCATTTCTTTGTGTTGGAAACATTTCGGTCAAGACAAATTTGCCTGTCCTTGCCATGGTTGGGGCTAAAAAAAAGTTTTTTAAAAAAGACCAATTTGCTTAGGGAATTAGTGATCATTTGTTTTTTGGGGGAAGTGGTTTGGATAACACATTCCATTTCTTTCCCTTTTTTTGAGTTGGAGTGTCACTCTATCACCCAGGCTGGAGTGTAGTGGCACGCTCACGGCCACCCCAGTGTTGACCTGCTGGGCTCCAGTGATCCTTCCACCTTAGCCTTCCATGTAGCCGGAACTACAGGCACAGGCTACCACACACCTGGCCCATTTTTGATTTACTGTAGAGATGAGGTCTTGCCAAGTTGCTCGGGCTGGTCTCAAACCCGCAGGCTCAGGCAGTCCACTTGTCTAGACCTCCCAAAGTGCTGGGATTACAGGCTGAGCCACTGAGCCAGGCCTGCATTCCGTTTCTTTACCCATGTTTCTTTTCTTTCCTTTTTTGTTTTTTTGGAGTTTTTTGGTTTGTTTTTTGAGTCAGAGTCTCACTCTGTCACACAGGCTGGTGTTCAGTGGCCAGTGGCACATTCACAGCCATCGCAGCCTCAACTCGCTGGGCTCAGGCGATCCTTTTGCCTCAGTCTTCCAAGTAGCTGGAACCACAGGCATGTGCCACCACGCCCGGCTAATTTTATGATTTTTTTGGGGAGGGGGACGGGAATTGTAGGGGTCAGCACACCCAGAGTGCAATGGGTGAGCCTCGACCTGGGAAAACCACCTTCGTGATCATGGTATCTTCCCTTCCAGGTAAGTGTAATTTTTTATTTTATTATAGAGATGAGGTCTCGCCACGTTGCCCAGGCTGGTCTCAAACTCCTGAGCTCAGACAATCCTTTTGCCTCTGCCTCCCAAAGCGCTGGGATTACAGGTGTGAGCAATAGCAATATGTGATCCTGGTTAAAAAAAAAAAATGGATACATGCCGTCTCAGATTTGCTTTGGAATAATACAGGAGGAGGCTGGGTACAGTGGCTCCCACCTGTAATCCCAGCATTTTGGGAGGCTGAGGTTGGGGGATTGTTTGAGGCTAGGAGTTCCACACCAACCTGGGCAACATAGTGAGACCCCTATCTCTACAAAAAAATAAAAATAATAATACAAGAGGAATTAGGTCAGAATGAAGCAAGATTGCCTGTGATTTGGTGTTCGCTGAAACTGTTAGTGCCTACGGTTTTGCTATCCTGTCCTGCACGGTGTTTGTAGATGCTTGAATACGGTCCAAACAGCCAATGCCCAGGTCGATTTTCACTGCAGACTGAGAGGGCCCCAGACCCTGCATATAGAGTTCACTCTTCCCTCCCCCTTCCTCAGTGTGGGGGTGACCCAGCCCTGAGCCACTCTCTCTGTCTTGCAGTTGACAGGCTGGACTTGCTGGACCGGCTCTCTGTCCTGTTGCTGCCCTGGGGCCATGGTGTGCGGGGCATCCTGGCCAGCCTGCTGGAGCACCTGGGAGCGGTCCCACAGCTCACCAAGCTCGGGCTACAGCGCTGGGCGCTCACGGACGCAGAGCTGAGGATGTTAGGTAGGTGGCAAGCCCGGCGCCCGGGGAACTCAGTGGGTCCTTGCGAAGGTCTGATGCTGGCATCGTTCGCTTTGCCCCTTTATTTTTTCTGGTCTCTTTTTAAATGTCAGCGTGCTTGAAGAGGTCATTTGTGTTAAGGAGTAAGATGACACAGAGCACTGGTCTCCCCCCAGGTTTTTGAGCATTTTACCTACAGAATCAAAAGAAAAGCGTTCCTGGTCCCCAGCAAGGTGTGTTGTGTGCCGCTGCTCGTGCCAGGCTTCCCTGTCTGAAATTTAGCCAAGTCACTTATTTAAGGAGGCAGCTGCTGGCTTGGCCCATCCCTGAGGCTGGTGACTGAGACCAGAGAGGGGTGCGGTGTATTTAGTGAAATAAAACTGAGTTGGGCAATAATCTGCCAGTTGGCTTTACTTTCCTAGTGCCATAAGGTCTTTGTTTATAAATGAGAAAAACTGAAGCTGGGCTCGGTGGCTCAGCCTGTAATCCCGCGCCTTTGGGAGGCTGAGGTGAGCGGATTGCCTGAGCCCGTGGGTTCGAGACCCGCCTGGGCAGCGAGACCTCATCTCTACAATAAATCAAAAAATCAGCCGGGCGTGGTAGTGCATGCCTGTAATTCCGGCTACTCGGAAGGCTGAGGCAGAAGGATCGCCGGAGCCCAGCAGGTCGAGGCTGCGGTGACCGGGAGCGGCCACTGCACTCCAGTCTGGGCGACCAAGTGAGACTCCAACTCAAAAAAAAAAAAAAAAACTGATACATGAGGGGGACCAGAAAACCTGGAAATTATTTATAAAAAATGGATGCCGATGGGTTCCTGGGACACTTACCTCGCGGGGGAAGCCTTACTATAAGGGTTCCACCCTCCAAAAGGTAATCCCAGCTTTTTGGGGGTCCCCCCGTGTAAGAAAAGGCAGTTGATTCCTAGACGTCTCCTTGTAATGATGCACCCCAAATGCTAATAACTCAACAGCTGCAACACACTTATTCTCAAAGTTTAAAACAAAAGAGGAATCTGTGGCATTGACACTGGATCCCTGTACAAGAGAACCATGGTTATCCCTGCTGTGTAAAGAAGCTCAGACCTAAGAGGCTTGTCAGAATAGAGCTGGGGGAAGGCTGGAGCCGGAAGAGGAGAGACCGTGTGGCTCCCGACACAGCCCCTCCAGCCCTCGTGGCCACCTGTCCAGGAGTCAAATGCAAACCTAGGGCTCGAGGCAAGAGCGTCAGACAGGAGCCAGGCATTTTCTTGCCTGTGGCCCATCGCCCAGAGGTGGACGGCATCCCTGGAGTGAGGGACTCTGTGTTTATGAGGAGGTTGGGAGCATGGATTCTGGAGTCAGACGTACCTGCCCACCCTTCCGCTCGATAGACCTGAGACCTGCAGCAAGGGGGCTAACCTCACCAGCCTCAGTTTGCTCATCTATCCCGTGAGGATGATTACGACTCTGGCCGTGTTAGGGGTTCCTGGGCTCATCAGCAACTCAGCTAACGCACGGAAAGTCCGTTCAACGCTGACCTGTGGTATAAGCTCAGTAAATGGTATTGCTGTCAGTGTCCTCTGTGGATTTCAAGTGGAGCCAGATGCTAGGGTTATTTTCCTAAAAAATAAATCAACAAACTTCCTGTGCCTGCAAATCAAGGAACAAACACACAAGCAGGAGTTGCACGATGAGACCCGAGGTGTGAACTCAGGCATGGGAGTCCTCAGAGCCTCAAGCTTTGCCAGAGTAAATGCTGTTTGCTGATACAAAGCCTGACAACTAAGTTCACGAATCAAAAAAGTGCTCCATGCCTCCTGATGAATATCACTGCGGTCCCCTTCGAAGCACTCCCCTTGAGAAGCTATGCACTGACATCAGCACCTAGTCGACCCACGTTGGAACTCTTTTCCTGGAATGGCCATCAGAGTCGTCATCAAATGTCTTCCTTTCAATATTTCCTTTATCTTCAGCTAAAAAAAAGTCATCGGGGGCCAGATGAAGTGAGTAGGGAGGGTGTTCAATGCAGTTATTTGTACAGTGCTCTCAACTTAAGTGCACATTGGCAAGTTTGAGAACTGAACTATCGGGCCCCAGCGAATATCGACGACGGCTCTGAGGGCCTTTCTGGAAAAAGAGTTCCCAAATGGCTTTGGCGGGTGGACAAGGCGCTAGCGTTGGAGCATTGCCTCCCAAGGGGAGGACTTTGAAGGTGACCGCATGGAGGTATGGAGCACTTTCTCTAGGATGGTTCCTGAACCGAATTGTGGGACCTTGTATATATAAAATCAGCCCCCAAGTCAAAAACACATTTGTGTAACTGCACAGCCTCTTTACAACACCCAAGCTGAGCAACTGCTCAAATGGGAAGCCTCTATCTGATTTTCCGGCTCTGGCCAGCAGTGCCTGTCCTGTGCAGACCTGGTGTAGAGATTCCCACCCCCATTTAGTGACACTGTGCGTGATGGGCGAGACACACGTGCCTTGAGATGGGATAATCAATGAATGCAGACTGCTGATCAGATATTGGGTCGAAGGAAGTAAAGGCTGCTGCGAAGGAAGATGTGGGGGAGAAACATGTCACATATAAGTGCACGGGGACGACGGACTGAATACAGTGGGTATTTTGAGAACTTTTTTCTTTTGTTTTTTCTTTTTAAATTATTACTATTATTATTTGTGAGTCGCTCTGTTGCCCAGGCTGCAGTGCAGTGGTGCAATCATAGCTCACCGCAGCCTCAAACTCTTGGGCTCACGATCCTCATGCCTCAGTCTCCTGAATAGCTGGGACTACAGGCACATGTCATTTCCAGCTAATTTTTTTATTTTTTAAAAAAAAGGTTTTTGTAGAGACAAGGTTTCACTATGTTGCCCAGGCTGGTCTCGAGCTCCTGGATGCGAGCAATCCTTCTGCTTCAGCCTCCCAAATTGCTGGAGTTGCAGGCATGAGCCACCACACCCAGCCAAGAATGCTTTCGTCGAAGGCTTTAGACACCTCCGGGTCCTAATTAAAGCCTGGCTCTCCCCTGCAGCCCTCGTAGGCCGCTGCTTTTCTTTCTCGTGATTTCCGTGCCCCTCAGAGTCCAAAGGCAAGGTCAGGTCCACTCCTCCTCTCACCTCATTCAAAATGTCTGCATCCAGGAGGCCCGGGCCCTTGGCTGGGCCATACCCCATGCCTCTTCACTGCGATGAACTGTACATTTTTGCCACCGTTTCTTGCCCTAAAGGTGTGGGCACCTGTCTCTCAGCATTCCCTACCCTCTGCCTCCTGCCTTTTCCCTACAAGCCTCCCCCTCCAGGCCAACACTGGTCCTCCCTCTTCCCCAGCCTTCCCGTCTGTCCCCTCCGCCCTCCCACTCCCTGGGCGTGATGTGGCTGGCTTGTGGAAATCCACTGAAAGTGGCTTTACCTCCGAGGTATAAATGCAGAAGTCCCACTGCAGACCACAGCTGTCTGCAGGTCCATCTTGTTCACTTGTGACTCCTGACCACCTGTCTTCTATGGAGCTGGGACGTCCAGCCCATGGAGCCCCCTATTTCTGCCCGTCTCAGCCCCTTCTATCTTGACTCCCCGCCACCTGGTTGAGATTCCACCTCCCATCTTTGCAAACACTCTTGTCCCAGCAGCTGAAACTTTCATGGCCACAGTCTCGCGAGGTCTAGGCAACGACATTTAGTGATGGACATGAGGGACGGACGCCACAGTGAACTAGAGTGTGACGAGAGGTGGGGGTGGTGAGACTTGAAGGACCAGCGGGTGGGGGCAGGGGCAGAGGAGACGTGAGACGGGAGAACTTGCATGGCAGAATTCCAAACCTGGACTGTCCTTGACTCTCCCCCTTTTTGCATCACTCTCAGGCTACTGGAGAAAAAATAAATCACACGATTTGGCAGAGAGATACATTACAAGCTTATACTGACAGACATCAACCAAAACGTTTAGAACTGAACTTGTGGCATGCAGCAAAAGCGGGGCTTCCAGAAATTCTCATAGCTTTACATACTTATATTTAAAAAGAAGAAAGAATAAAAACTAACAAGGCCAATTTCTAATTTAAGAAGCCAGAAAGGCCAGGTGCGGTGGCTCACACCTGCAATCCCAGAACTTTGGGAGGCTGGGATGGGAAGATCGCTTGAGCCAAGGAGTTTGAGACCAGCCTGGGCAACATAGCGAGACTTCATCTCTACCAAAAAAAAAAAAAAAACGACTAGCTGGGTGTGATGACACATGTCTGTAGTTCCAGTTACCGAGCCGGAAGGACTGCCTGAGCCCAGGAGGTCAAGGCTGCGGTAGCCATGAGCGTGCCACTGTACTCTAGCCTGGGCAACAGAGCGAGACTTTGACTTAAAAAACAAGACCAAAGGCAAAAAAGGAGTCATAATTATAGATAAACCAGAGATTAAAAGATACAAGAGTAGCCTTGTGAGACTTCATCTTTGCAGAAAAACCCCAAGACTTGGCCAGGTGTAGTGGTGTATGCCTGTAGTCCTAGCTACTCAAGCGGTTGAGGTGGGAGGATTGCTTGAGCCCGGGACTTCAAGGCTGCAATGAGCTACAATTTTGCTGCTGCACTCCAACCTGGGCAACAGAGCAAGACCCTGTCTCAAAAAAGGAAAGAAAGAAAAAAAAAGGAAGGGAAGGAAAAAAATTCATTAATAATAGTACCAAGAAATTTTAAAACTAAGACAAAGGGGACATGCTTTTTAAAAAGTTTTTGGAGCCGGGCTCGGTGGCTCAGCCTGTAATCCCGTGCCTTTGGGAAGCTGAGGTGAGTGGATTGCCTGAGCCCGCGGGTTCGAGAC